CTGATGACACTGTGCTCTTGGGGGATTTGAAGAGAAGCTGCAGAGATTGGTGGATGAATTTGGTTAGGGTGTGCAAAAGAAGAAAATTAAGGTGAATACAGGAAAGAAATAAGGTTATGAGGATAACCAAAAAAAATTAGGTGATGAAAATTGAATATCAGATTGGAGGGGAGGAAAAGTATGGAGGAGGTGAACGTATTTTAGATATTTGGGAGTGGACGTGTCAGCGGATGGGTCTATGAAAGATGAGGTGAATCTAGAATTGATGAGGAAAAGAGTGAGTGGTGCAAATTAGGAGTCTTGGAGACAGAGGGAAATTTGTCCTTGGAGGCAAAGAGGGGAATGTATGAGAGTTATGTTTTACCAACGCTCTTATATGGGTTTTGAAGCATGGGTGATGAATGTTGCAGCGAGGAGAAGGCTGGAGGCCAGTGGAGATGTCATGTCTGAGGGCAATGTGTGGTGTGAATATAATGCAGAGAATTCGTAGTTTGGAAGTTAGGAGGGGTGCGGGATTACCAAAAAATGTTGTTTCCCGAGGGGTGAGGAAGGGGTTTTTGAGGTGGTTCGGAGATGTAGAGAGAATGGAGCGAAAAAGAATACTTCAAGAGTGTATCAGTCTGTAGTGGAAGGAAGGCGGGGTAGGGGGCGGCCTAGGAAGGGTTGGAGGGAGGGGGTAAAGGAGGTTTTGTGTGCGAGGGCTTGGGGCTTCCACAGGCATGCGTGAGCGTGTTTGATAGGAGTGAATTGAGACAAATGGTTTTTAATAATTGACGTGCTGTTGGGTGTGAGCTAAAGAAAACATTTATGAAAGGGATTAGGAAACCGCAGGCCGGACTTGAGTCTCTGAGATGGGAAGTACAGTGCCTGCACTCTGAAGGATGGGTTTAATGTTGCAGTTTTAAAAACTGTAAGTTGTACAGCACCCTTCTGGCAAGACAGTGATGGATGAATGATGGTGAAATTTTATCTTTTCGGGCACCTGCCTTGGTGGGAATCGGCCAGTGTGATAATAAAAAAATAAAATAATAAATATTTATGTATATATATATCCTGTGTCACAAACCTACTGGAGTTCTATGACAGGGTGACAGCAGTAAGACAAGAGAGAGAGCGGTGGGTAGACTGCATTTTCTTGTACTGTAAGAAGGCGTTTGACACAGTTCCACACAAGAGATTAGTGCAAAAAATGGAGGACCAGGTAGGGATAGCAGGGAAGGCACTACAGTGGATTAGGAAATACCTGTCAGGAAGACAGCATGGTACGCGGCGAGGTGTCAGAGTGGGCACCTGTGACGAGTGGGGTTAAACAGGGGTCAGTCCCAGGACCGGTGCTGTTTTTTGTATTTATGAACGACATGACGGAAGGAAAAGACTCCAAAGTGATGTGAAGTTGATGAGAAGTCAGTCGGACGAGGACCAGGAAGAACTACAAAGGGATCTGGACAGGCTACAGGCCTGGTCCAGCAATTGGCTCCTGGAGTTCAACCCCACCAAGTGCAAAGTCATGAAGATTGGGGAAGGGCAAAGATCACAGACGGAGTACAGTCTAGGGGACCAGTGACTGTAAACCTCACTCAAGGAAAAAGATCTTTGGTAAGTATAACACCGGGCACATTTCCGGAGGCGCACATCAACCAAATAACTGCTGCAGCATATGGATGCCTAGCAAACCTAAGACCAGCATTCCTACATCTTAATAAGGAATCGTTCAGGACCCTGTACACTGTGTATGTTAGGCTCATATTGGAGTATGCGGCACCAGTTTGGAACCCACATCTAGCCAAGCACGTAAACTAGAGAAAGTGCAAAGGTTTGCAACAAGACTAGTCCCAGAGCTAAGGGGTATGTCCTATGAAGAAAGGTTAAGTGAAATCGACCTGACGACGCTGGAGGACAGGAGAGATAGGGGGGCATGATATCGTCATATAAAATACTGAGAGGAATTGACAAGGTGGACAGAGACAGAATGTTCCAGAGATGGGACACAGCTTCAAGGGGACACAGTTGGAAATTGAAGACACAGATGAATCACAGGGATGTTAGGAAGTATTTCTTCAGTCACAGAGTAGTCAGGAAGTGGAATAGTTTGGGAAGCGATGTAGTGGAGGCAGGATCCATTCATAGCTTTAAGGAGAGATATGATCAAGCTCATGGCGCAGGGAGAGTGACCCAGTAGCGGCCAGTGAAGAAGCGGGGCCAAGAGCTATGGCTCGACCCCTGCAACCACAACTAGGTGAGTACACAAACACACACACACACACACATATATAATATATATATATATATATATATATATATATATATATATATATATATATATATATATATATATATATATATGTCGTGCCGAATACGTAAAACTGGTCAATTAGCAAGAACTCATTTAAAATTAAGTCCTTTTCTTAAAATTTTCCCTTATACGTTTAAAGATATATTTTTTTCATTAAAGTTAATGTAAAAAATTTTAATTTTGCACCAAAAGAATCTTAGAAAAACTTTACCTAACCTTATTATAACAAGGAACAATTTATTTTAGCCTAACCCAACTATATATTTTTTAAATTTGTTTACCATAAATTATTACTAAACAAACACAGTGAAGTATATTTTTCTCGTTAGGTTCTGAATGATTTGGCGAAATTATTGCATACACAAATTTTCGCTTGTCTTATATGGCAAGATGAACGTTGCTATTTAAGCCAAGATCGCAAGTTCTGCCTATTCGGCACGACATATTATATATATATATATATTATATATATATATGTCATGCCGAATAGGCAGAACTCGCGATCTTGGCTTAAATAGCAACGCTCATCTTGCCATATAGGACAAGTGAAAATTTGTGTATGCAATAATTTCGCCAAAATCATTCTGAACCTAACAAAAAAAATGTATTTCACTGTGTTTGTTTAGTATTAAATTATTGTAAACGAATCTAAAATATATTTAGTTCTGTTAGGCTAAAATAAATTGTTCTTGTTATAATAAGGTTAGGTAAGTTTTCTAAGATTCTTTTGGAGCAAAATTAAATTTTTTACATTAACTTTAATGAAAAAAATATATCTTTAAACGTATAAGAGAAAATTTTAGAAAGGACTTAATTTTAAATGAGTTCTTGCTAATTGACCAGTTTTACATATTCGGTACGACTTGTATGTATATACTATATATATATCATTTTAGATAACAAGAACACTTAACCAACCATTCCATGGGGGATGAATTCCTTTAATATTAAGTGCCTTAACCTACACCTCCAAAAAGCACATCACTAGAAATCCCTCGGTATTATTACTATCATATTACCTGATGGATCAGTACAAGATTCCACTGGCATGGCTGCACCTAATGTTTTTGTCAGTGCCTCTCGAAAGAATTATGGGACCCATGCTGGTTTAGGAATAAGCATTTCTTAATGGACTTCTGCACTACAAACTGAACTGTTTGCATCCCTAATGAAGTGTTTGTATCTCTAATGGCACTAAAGTTAACTTATGACAATGAGTTTGACTCCTTGTTTCTTATTCTCTCATCACTGAATGCAGTGGTTAATGAAGTGCTAATTGGAGATACCAAGTATTCATGATGCAAAAATTGAAAGAGCAATAAATATATGCTTATTTGTTTGTGTATATCGTTTTGCATGATCTTATTCTGAGTATTGTTTGAGAGAATATGTTGCCTACAGTCTTTGTTATAACTTTTACCAGAAATTAAAAATTATAATTATAGTTTGGGGCAGCAGGCCTCCAGCAGCAGTAGCCTGGTTGACCAGGCAAGCACCAGACGAGTCTGGCCCACGGCCGGGCTCCGAGAGATGTGAAACTCTCGAAATTCCTTCTAAATTATAATAAACATCATAGGAATGAAAACAGAAGAAGTCTGATGTGAATGAAGACTTGCATATTTATGGAGCAACATGAAATGTAAACTATGATAGAATTGTTATGGCTAGGCTCAGGCTTGGTAAAACGACAGAGTTGTTATGGCTAGGATCAGGCTTGGTAAAACGACAGAGTTGTTATGGCTAGGCTCAGGCTTGGTAAAACGACAGAGTTGTTATGGCTAGGATCAGGCTTGGTAAAACGACAGAGTTGTTATGGCTAGGATCAGGCTTGGTAAAACGACAGAGTTGTTATGGCTAGGATCAGGCTTGGTAAAACGACAGAGTTGTTATGGCTAGGCTCAGGCTTGGTAAAACGACAGAGTTGTTATGGCTAGGCTCAGGCTTGGTAAAACGTACTTCCCACAGTTTGAATGTACACAGCCACTGATCAAACAACATTTCATCATCGCTTTCTTGAACACATTTTGCTTGCTAGAGATAGGCAACACAATAATCTACATATTAGTAAATGCATCTCACTGACAAAATACAATACCATTATTCTGAGCAAATATCCTAAATTTTCACTCACAGAACGGGACTCACGCCGTGTGTTCTAGTCTCACCCGTACGGTGATTTACATGCAGTCGAGTTACTACGAGTTCATGAGGCCTAAATTTCGCTGTAACAGACGAAAGACTGATGAATTTCTAAATAACATGTACTCAAATGTACGCCTGTAAATACTTTTAGGGCCTATTTTCTAGATTTTTTTTTTTTTTTGGAAAGCATATTAATCTTTACTCCTAAAACGACTTCTACGGCTTCATTATTTATTCATATAATTAATTTTGATTCCAGGAGAATATTGGAACTGGGTCTTTGAATTTATGTTCATGCTATACCATACTTTTCACTGTCTATTATTGTATTCATAAATTTTTCGGTTTGTCAGAATTCTGTATGTATTCTAGGTTTAGGATTTGCCCTTGAATATAATAAAAATAATAATATAATAATAATAATAATATTATTAATTATATTAATATAAATATATAATAATTATATATTATTATAAATATATAATATATATAGTATTATTGCTATTATTGTTACTAATGATAATGTATGTCTTCAGAATCACTAATTTCATTTGTTTTTTTACAGGTGAGAAGCCGTTCCGCTGTGAGTACGAAGGCTGTGATCGACGGTTTGCCAACTCCTCCGACAGGAAGAAACACTCACACGTTCACACCTCCGACAAGCCCTACAACTGCAAGGTTCGGGGCTGCGACAAGTCCTACACGCACCCGTCCTCTCTCAGGAAACACATGAAGGTTCATGGCAAGTCGCCCCCGCCTTCGGGCTCCGGCTACGAGAGCGATGACTCCACTACGACCAATGGTACCTCCACCTCCTCCTCCCTCGTGTCCTCGTCCAACACGGGCCAGACGGCGCTTGTGCCTAGCTCAGGTCTCGGAGGTACGGGTGGGAGCGGCGCAGGGGGCGGCACGGGCGGCGTTGGGGGCGGCACGGGTGGTGGGGGCGGGCACTCCACTAATCTGAGTGAGTGGTATGTGTGTCAGAGTGCCGCTGGTATGCCCACGCCGCCCAGCAACGAACACAGTCCTGTTGGGGGGTTGACTCACGTCTTACCGCCCACTTCGACGGCGTACTAGCAGTGTTTATATCTGCGGTGCCCCCACACTCACACTTCCCCCCACCTCTCACCCCTCCTCTGGTAAGCCTCCTTTTACGGGGAGGTACCAGCAGGAGACCCCACCGTGGGGGCCCCGTTTCTCCCCCGTCCTCAGCGATGTACATAGCATGTACAAAGTATATAGTGTACATAATGTACAGACAGTTTATATTGGTAAGTTTGTACCGCGCGACGTGCGGGCGTCAGACCCACCTGCCTGGGCTGGTCCCTGCAACTGAGACCTGACACAAATGTTTTTATACAACCACTAAGGTGCTTAACACATTTTATTTATTATGTTCACTCTGTGAAGGACACGCGTGTTGTACCGCCGTTCATGTATAATTATGTATAGTCTTGTTTTCCTTCATTAAAACAATAAAATCTACATCTGTGAATGGAACACATGAGATCACGTGACTGACAGCCTAGCTCTGTGTCTAAGCCAGGGGCGAGAGTGGCACTCCAGACCCTGGGGAGCCACCTCATGGCTCTGGGGGACGGGGTTCACTCCCTGGCCCTGTGGGAGGGGTGTTCCAGACCCAGGAGGATGGGAGTCACTCCCTCACCGTGGTGGATGGGATATCACTCCCTCTCCTTGAAAGGGGAGACGTCACGTCCTGGCTAGAGATAGGGAATAAGGGGAACTTTCTCCTTTTCCTGAGTAAAGGGGTGCTGCTGCAAGGTACGATTTCCCTTTTCCAGAACCCCCATTTCCAGGACGCATCATGTATCCTTGTAATCTACTTACTACCGCCTAAAGGACAGGCACGGGGTGACTACCGCCAGAAAACTAAGTATTAGGTCAAAAACTTTACGTCAAACTAACCTTCTCAAAAGGGTAACTTTCTGGCAGACGTCACGTGATTGACAGAGTTCTTGTTTCATTCTCCTTCACCCGGCCAATAGCGTGCCAGACTCCGGCAAGCAGTGATAACAGACGTAATGCCGGTAATGTGTTAAGTTACGGCAGAGCTGTCACATGATGCAACGTCGACGTGCTGACAAAAAGTGAAGTTTGAAAAAAAATTTGATTGAATTGACGAAACTTGCAGAATTACAGAGTACAAATACTACGAGACAGTGTGTTTAACATATGAAATGATTTGATTATTATTATTATTATTATTTTATTTTTTGTTGTTATTGTTCTTGAATTTAGGGGGAAGAGCTAAATTCGTATGAAACACACAGCGCTTGGGGAATGACAGGCAAATGGGTTGACACAATGTGAAAGGAGACAGCTTGACATGTTTATGAAGGGAGACAGCTTAAAACGTTGTTTGTAACAGTAGACAGCTTGAAACATTGTGTCGGTAGACAGATTGTCACATTGTTTATACAACAGACACCCTGAAATATTGTTTATGACTAGAGACAGCAGGACATATTGTTTGTGATAATAGACAGCTTGACATAGTGTGACAGCAGATTGACACACACTTTGTGACAGGAGACAGACTGGACATATTGTAACAGGAGACAGCTTGACACATTGTGGCAAGAGACAGCTTGACACAGTGTGGCAAGAGACAGCTTGACACATTGTGGCAAGAGACAGCTTGACACATTGTGGCAAGAGACAGCTTGACACATTGTGACAGGAGACAGCTTGACATATTGTGTCAAGAGACAGCATGGCACATTGTGACAAGAGACAGCTTGACACATTGTAACAGCAGACTGGCACACTCTGACAGGAGATACCTTCACACATTGAAGAGAATTGAAGCCACACTTCCTCTTCCTCGGATCACACATCATTGCATCCCATTCCTATAGATTTGGTTCTTTCCGTTAATAATAATAATAATAAATATTTGTAATAATAATTAAATAATAATAAGAAAACAACTATAATAAAAATAATGAAATGGTAATAATAATTATAAAATAATAACAGCAACAATTACAATAATTAATAATAATAATAATTATAATATTAATCATACTAACACAATAGTAATAATAATACTAATATAATAATCACACTAATACAATAATAATAATAATAATAAAACACGTTGAATTAAGGCTTTCTTTTTGTATATAAATAAAGTAGTTGCCATGGATATATATATATATATATATATATATATATATATATATATATATATATATATATATATATATATATATATATATATAATATATATATATATATATATATACAGGTGTTTTTGGTCAAGTAAAATTTCTTTGTTATATAGTTTAGATAAAATACATGTTAAAATAATCATCCTGGGGCTTAGACGAGGCTGGGAAACATTGAAAGAAAATACTCACGTAGCAAAACAAGCTTTAATTGCGGCAACGTTTCGCTGATTGTAGAGCTTTATTATGACTTGATCGAGCTGTACGCAGAGCGAAACGTCGTTCCACTTTTGGCTTGTTCAGCAGAGTGAGTCTTCAATAGACAGGACAGTAAGCTGTGCAGAGCCAGCCTCATCATCGCTCAGAATTACCTGAATTCGAATTTTTAAAACACTGCTTGTCAAAAGTCCACCATCCCTGAAGCCGTTACCAACGTTATGTACCCGACTAGTAGTGTCTTCAGGGGTCGAATCACAGTTCCTGGCCCCGCTATGTCCTATCCATTATCCATCAACACTTCAATTCACCAGGTTTTTATGTGCTTTGTGTTAGGTCTAAGGCCTATAGACCCTTCAAAGTGGAGGCTGGGAAGGGGTGTCTTGGTGCTGGTGAAAAGCGTTGGATCTAAGGGACTGGAGCTACTCTCCACTTCCTCGGATCAAACCTGATTATTTCCCATTCCCATATTAGCTATATGACTTACATGGTTTTAGCGCTTATCTGTTTATGATATATTAATAAACAATAAAAATAAAAAAAAATGTAATGCTGCTATTATAATAATAATAATAATAATAATAATAATAATAATAATAATGAAAATAATAAAAGATTATAATAACAATAATAATAACGCATAAAAATTCACAATAACGTGACTGGAACACAAACAACCCGCACATAGGAGACCTAAATTTATAACGACGTTTCGGTCCGTCTTGGACCATTCAGGAGTTAATAGTTCAAATCGGACCGAAACGTTGTCATAGATTTCAGTTTCATAAGTGTGAGTCATTTGTGAATAATAAAAATAATAATAATGTAATTATTATTATTATTTTTATTAAATGTAATAAAATAATAATAATAAAAATAATAATAATAATCATAAATTATATAATAATAGTAATAATAATGTTAATAATAATAACAATAATGCTTATCTGGATATGTATGCAAATTTCATCATTAATAAATGAAATTAAAGAAAACTCTCTGTATATAACAGGACACACACACACACACACACACACACACACACACACACACACACACACACACACACACACACACACACACACACACACACTACGAAATCTTTTACAAGATACAATGTATATTTGTATTATGATCGAGGGTCGTATGTTGCCTGTTCTATGAATTCTGGCTATATTATTGTTTATGCAGCAAACATAAATTGTTTATGTCGTAAACATCACTTATTTACGTAGCAAACATATATTAGTACATAATCGCCTACTGATCAGTATGAACAGGCTGACTAGAGCTTCATTGTTCCGTGGTGTCGGCTTCAGCCCAGAGAATTCAACACTCATTTGTCCCAACTGGAAGGAAAATAGATTATATAATCGATTTCACTTTGTCACGGATATTCACAACTGTGTATTCACAAACAATCACGAAAAATCAAACAGAATTATCATAATTCTAGCAATAATATGAGTTAACCTCACTGGAATACATGAGATTACCATCACCACAGCCGACATAGCGCCAAGTGATGCAGTGATTGACAGATTTGACCCCGCCCATATAAATGACGTCAGTGGTTTACCCCTGCTGTGATTGGTCCTCTTCATATTGTCACTTGCTGTGGCGCTTGTCATTGGTCCACATGGATGGGGTTGCCCCTGGTCCCTGGATGACGATAACGTCAGTGGGAGGGATCCAGCTGCAGCGGCGTAATCTATCATCCCATCTATTGACCGCTTTGTAAAACGAGTTATTCTGTTCACCTCTGAGCGTTCAACCTTGGTTGTTATAACTGGGCTCTGTGATAAAATTGTTAATGATATGTGTGTGTGTGTGTGTGTGTTCCCGTTTGTGCGTGTGTGTACTCACCTAACTGTGGTTGCAGGGGTTGATTCATAGCTCCTGGCTCCGCCTCTTTGCTAGTTGCTACTAGGTGCACTCTCTCCCTGCTCCATGAGCTGTATCATACCTCTTCTTAAAGCTATGTATGGATCCTGCCCCCACTACATCCCTCTCCAGACTGTTCCACTTCCTGACAACTCTATGACTGAAGAAGTGTGTATGTGTGTGACGCCAATAAGTAGTAGTTCAATGTAAATGATATGGCCCCACGTGCACCAGAAGGTACAACGTCTCTAAAACGCATAGTGGGTCGCTGCGCCACACTACATCACACCTCACAACTGTCCACCACTGACAACCAGACTGAACAAGGAGTAATCTGACGCCAACAAAATCAATAAAAACACGCCACACGACCACCACAACGACACACACTCCACAACAACAACACACACCCACCACCACGACACACACACACACACACAAACACACACACATACAACACACACACACACACAACACACACACCACACACAACACAAACACACACACACACACCACACACACACACACACACACACACACAACACACACACACACACACACACACACACACACACCCCACACACACACACACACAACAAAAACACACACACACACACACACAACACACACACACACACACACACACACACACACACAAACAACAACACACACACACAACACACACACACACACACACACAAAACACACACACACAACACACAACACACCCTTGTACAACATATCGTCTCCAGGTCTCTATGGTTATTAAGGTCCGTTCCACTTAGTGTAAGACACCAACATTATAATTCTGGAAATCCTGAAGCGCTCATAAAGAAAATGTTCAGGATATATATATATATATATATATATATATATATATATATATATATATATATATATATATATATATATATATATTTCAACAAGGCCGTCTCAGTGTATATACTCTTAGCCTGTTTGTACCCTGAGACATTCATTCCTTCGGTGTGCCGTATATACCAGAGAGATACCCTCTTTTAAATGTGCATTATGCACCCTGAGAGAGAAATAAAGCATTTCTCGGTGTATATACGCTGAGAGATACACTCGCGGTGCACGTATAGTTTTGGTTTAGAAAGACACGTAAGCAAACACTATAACATATTTATTAGAAAACGTTTCGGTCCTGGGACCTTGATCACTTG